CCTGCCCCCCGCCCCCCAACTAAATGGTTCCCTTTGTTCTGTCTCCCCAGCAAGAGGAAAACTTGGGCAACTTGATCCATGAGACGGAATCCTTCTTCAAGACGAGAGACAAGGAGTACCAGGAAACCATAGGCCAGATCGAGGTGAGGGCTGGGGCTATGCAGCCCCTTAGTGAGGCTCATGAGGTCACATGGCCCAGACCCCTGGCGACTATCTGGCCTTGTGGGCAGCGGCTGGTAGCCTGGGGCAGCCACAGGCTTGAGAGTGAGGAGGCCTATCAATTTCCTGCCTGGTGCTGGGAAAACCATACCCCTCTTAGGGCCTCAGTTCCCTAATCTGTAAAATGGAGGTGGTGATCCCTGTCTGCCCCAGAGAGGTTTATTTTTAGTTATTCAAATGAGATGGTGGTCCCAAAATAATGAGAGCTGACATTTGAGTGACGTCAAGTGACACAAGGCACCAAGTAAGCCCGTTACAAGTACACCCTCCCTAGTCTCCACATACCCCAGTATGGACCTGCAGGTACCTGGGTGCCCTATGCAGTAGAAGTTAAAAGAGACCCAATGACTTGCCCAAGGCCTCCAGCTAGCAGACAGCCTTAGAGCCCAGCGCGCTCTGCCCGAGAGCCTGCACTTGGCCATGTCTGTCAGTGAGGTCATTGCTGTTGTCACACTGGAGAAAGAGGAGCCTTTTCCCTGGGCGATATATCATGTGGTGGAGGAGAAGGGTCAGAAATGTGAGAGATGTGAGGATTTTTCTAATCAAGGCCATGGAAAGGAGTGCAGAGATGCCGGGCAGAGTGGAGTTGGCACAACCAGGTGGGGCTGGTCAGGGAAGGCTGCCCTTGTGGTTGCTCAGCAACCATTCCTCCTTTACCAGAAGCAGTTCTAGAGGCCTTGGACCAGTACGCGGAGGGCAGAGGCCTAGGCAGGGCCCTGAGGGCATGGGGTGGCCTTGAGGCCGCCAGCACTCAGGTGGTGGGGAGGGCATTGCTGAGGGTTTTGCTGTGAGGATGACTTGGCCTCACCCTTATCCCGCGTTGGTCCCTCTCAGTTGGAGCTGGCCACAGCCAAGAGTGACATGAACCGACACTTGCATGAATACATGGAGATGTGCAGCATGAAGCGTGGCCTGGACGTGCAGATGGAGACCTGCCGCCGGCTCATCAAAGGCTCCGCGGACAGGTACCTGGCCCCGTCCTCCCTGGGGATTCAGCAGTTGGGTTCTTGGGGGGAATTTGTGGGGTTGCAACCCACGTGTCCACCCATCCATTCATCCAATGAATATTAGTCACCTGCCTCCTGCGTGCTAGATGATTTACCTGTTTAATTTCCTCTAACTCCCTGCACACACTGCTCAACAGCTACCTGTTGGGGGCCTGCTCTGTGCAGGGCCACGGGGATACAGTGATGGACACAACAGGCACAGCCCTGCCCTCGGGGAGCTTACACCCTACCATCTGCTTAATTGGGAAGTGGAGGAGGTGGGCAGGACACCCCTCTCCACTATGGCTGATGGGGCTCCCATTTGTCCATAGGAATCAATTTCACATCCTTTCCCATATTCCAACCCAGGCCCAGGTGGGTCAGGCCCCTTTGATTTTCGGGGCCAGAGGGGAGGGGTGACACTAAAAGACTGAGCCCCTGCCTTTAAGGAGCACGCAGCCTCATGGGGCAGACAGCCATGCAACTAATAGAGTAGGATGATATGTGTAAAATGCTTGGCACAAAGCACAAATAAGTGTTACTTGTTTCTCTTATTATGACTATATTCCTACAGGCTGTGGTTCAGGCTGTAAAAGGGAGGGGTGGGTCTGTGGGAAGCTGTGTGTGGGGCCCTAGGCTCAGCATGTCCTACCTTTAGCTCCCTGAACCCCCCAGATCCCACTGTCATTATCATGTTCAGATGGAGGAGCGGAAGCTGAGGCAGCTTAAAGAGTTTGCCCGAGGGCCCCCAGCCAAAATTTAAACCCAGTGCTATTAACCACTACCCAGTATGGCGTCCCTTTGAGAGCTGAGTTAACTGGGGTTTACTGAGCACATACTATGTACCCACATCTGTATTTGGTGGTTTGAGGGTAAGAACCAAGCTTGATCCATGGTCCCTGCTCCCAAGGGGTGTCCGGTACTGAGAGCAATTAGAGGCTGGTACAGGAGGTCCCAAGAGGTCTTGAGAGCCATGTTCACTTGTGAGCTTAGGAGAGTCTAAGGAAAGCAGAGCAAGGGCAGCGTCTCAGGGCAGGACCCCCCTCTGAGGTCAGATCTTAGAGCAGTGGCTGCTCAACCCTTCCTGCTCCTCAGATTCCTTCAGGGGTCTTCGGGCTGCTCCCTGACCGTCCCCCATTCTCTCCTGCCTTCCAGGAATTCACCGTCCCCCAGCTCCGTGGCCAGCAGCGACTCAGGCAGTACAGACGAGATCCAGGACGAGTTTGAGCGGGAGGCAGACGTGGAGCCCATGGTCAGCTGATGACTGAGGCCCCTGTGCCTGGTGGTCTTGGTGATGGGGCCTCTGCCCCCTCTCCCCACAAGATCCTTGGAGTGGGGCTCCAGTCCTCACCACACGGACTTCCTCTGCCCTCCCTTCTCTGGAGGCCCCAAGGGACGGCTGCTTCCTTCCTCCCTTCCACCCACCATCAACCAGTGCCCTCTCCATCCACCCACCCAAGGAATGGTGCTCACAATTTCTATTCTCCACGTTACAAATGCAGACTTCTGTCCAGATGATGCAGTGTTAACCGTGCCTTTTCCCTTAAGCTGAGCCACTTTGAGCTCCAAAGAATTATTCCTAGCAGGTGTTTTTATACAAAACTCTAAGGTGAGGGCGGGGCCCCAGTGTGGGATATTGTGGTTTTCTACCCTTCCACCTGCTCCTCAGATTGGCTATGACCTATGCCCTTCCCTCCTCTGCTGGCCAGCGCTGATGGAGTTGGGCTTGGGGTGGTCCACCTTCACCCAGGACGGAGCTGTTTGCCTGTGCAAACTTTCCACGCCTGGGTGGGTACCTCCCAAGGGTTTTTCACTTACCAAAAGGGAAAAAGATGGAAGGTGGGAAGGAAGACAAATTTTTATTTTCTTTTTGGATCGAGTGGCACAGCAGAGGGACAAGGCACTGTGGGGGAAGGTGGAGCCTCACTGTGTTTAAACTACTATGCAAAAAACAAAACAAAACAAAAAGCAGCTTGCCTTATATATTGTGGAAGGTAGGCCCTCTCCCAGACTCGTGGTTTCCCCTCGGAGTTGGGAGGGAGGCCAAAGCTGGGGCGATGTCTCTCGCAGCCTCTGAGGGGGTTCGGTCAAGGTCAGTAAAGAGGCCTGGGTCCTGCAAGGCCCTTGGCCACCTGACTGTTTGCTTTCTTGGGACCTCTGTGGGTTTGGGGGGGTCTTTTATTGCCCTGACGACTTGATGTTTTTCCCTATTTCCAGCCAACTGTAAGGGGTTTTGGATCTGTAATTTCTCTGTGAGAAAGTCTGAAGGGAGCCAGGCCTGGTATCGCCCCTTCCACAGTGGAGCCGGTGAGGCCCACCTGCTGCCATCTTGGCTCTCCTCTGTGCCCCAGTTGCCCATTGCTTGGCCACTGGCAGGCACTGGAAAGGAAAGAGGAAGGAGGCAATGAGGGCTGCTGGCAGGTTGGAGGTGGCAGGAGTCGGCGCTCAAGTGAGAACCATCCTTGTTCCACGTGTGCCAGCTTCTTCCCGTACTTCTCTTAACTGACCAGTTGGGGAGTTGATTGAGCCAGTGCCTCCCCAAGGCTTGCGTGGACCTGTGTTGAAGCCACCCACCAAATCTCAGCTTGGAGCCAGCTGACCAGGCTTTGCTTTTTTTTAAAAAATGTCTTTTGTCCCAACTCCTGTGGGTATGGTTGCTGATTTTTGTTCTTGTTGGCCCAGCAGCTCCCCCTGGAGGTCAAAGGAGCACACTGTGCCCGAGGACCTGAACTTACCTTCAGGGCTTATGTCTACAGGCAGAGGGGCGGCTCTGGCTTTGAGCAGGTTCTGGCCCCCAGTCTTTCCTCCCCAGGGTACCAGCCACCGTTAAGGGCCTTCTTTCTCTTCTGTTTGCCCCACCTGTTTTGCAGTCTTAACACCATTGTACATAATATTCACATAATATATATATATATATGGAGAGAGAGAGAGTTAAGTGACAGTGTATTATTTTTATTTATCAGAACTGGTGGCCTCTATTGTTTTTTTCTATTTTGTTGTTGTTGGGAGAACCTCGTACTGTTCCCTGTGGCAGTCTGGCCGGGAGGCTTCCATGCCCAGTGTCCCTTATTGGCTACAAGTCCCTTGGTAGGTACGAGGAGGGACGGTGGTTTTGGAGGAGGGACAGCCCCTTCCCCTCCTCCTTCCTGACCCTTGTTCTAAAGGTTACAGGGTTCAAACATACCTGATTATTATTGTCGTTATTATTGTTATTGTTGTTTTAGTTTAGCTTTATTTTAACCAAAGGTTATCAGAGCCAGTTGGGCTTGGACCTCAGCTGCTAAAAAGATTTTCCGTTTCCAGGAGGGTGGGGAAATGGCTGTCCCGCAGGCCTGCGCTGTCCAGGTGTGGTCAGGTAGGCAGAGTGGAAGCCAGCCCTGGGTTGTTCCTTGAGGTGGTGGGAGGGGGACAGGTCTATCTTTAGAATTAAGACAATAAGGCAACAATGTATTTTGAGGGTAACTAAGGTGATTAGTGTCCAGTGGTATTTTTGCTTTCCCCTTTGTAGACATAAGATATTTGCCACTGGGGACTAGGGGACTCTGAATTTGTCCAAGGACTACAGAAATGGCAGGAGCCAGAGACAGACGCTGGCTGAGGAGGTCCTTCCTGCTGGTTTTCAAAAGCCACTTTCTCCTGGGGAGCAAGGATTTGGGGCAGGTGGATGGGGTGGGGACAGCAAGGGTGTGGCCTACCTGCTTCCTGGGCAGGGTCCTGGGTCTTGGCCTGGCTGCCTTCCTCCCCACCAAGTTCTTTTTGGAGTTAGTTGCCAGTGGGCCCTGCTTGTCCCCTCGCCACGAGCCCACAGCTTGCCAAGAAAGACTTCAGCGCTCGCTGAGGTAGCACCAGGTCCGTCCTTTGTAAAGCTGTAAATACTTCATTTTAGTTTTCTACTTCTAAGCCCAGTGTCATATTGACATTGGTATTTTAGATTGTTCTCAGATGGGCTCTCCTGTGCTGCCCTCTCTCAACCTCCTATTTTTGGGGGGTTTTATAAAATGAGGATTGGGGAGGGGCAGGGAGAGTAATTCCTTTTGGTTCCCTGGTTGTGGAACACACACACGCACACACACACACAGACACACTGAGACTCTGAACAGGGGAAAAAGTTCTTGGCAAGTGAACCATGTGTTTTCTTGTGGCAATATGTCTCTGAAGGGCCAGTCCATCTCGGACTTAGCTTTCTGGGTGCAGCTCAGATGATTTAGGGAGAATCAAACCTCTCTGGCTTGGGATGGTGGAGAGGGTGTGGGGTAGGGGATAATATAAGGTGTAACTTAAGCTAAATGTAATCTATTTATAAAGCAAGAGACTCTCATCTATTTTTATGAAAGGGAAGGTTTTTTAATCTAGGGTAGGCAGTTGTGGTGGCCCAGCATTTTTCTGTGGACACTATGCATGTTGCTGCTGGATTTAATATAATCGGTACCCCTCACCCAGTCTCCCTGTCCTCACCGCCTACTCATCCGCACCCTTGAGTGGCTTCTGCAGAGCGTAAGGCCCCACCTCACCCCATTTCCGTTCCCCAATCCCCCAGCTCCTGGGTCCTTGGAAGTCTTAGGGGGGGAGGGCACTTGTGGGAAAGGGTGGGCAGCGGAGAATTCAGAATTGAGGTGGGTGGGTGGGGGAAGGGGGCATGAGATAGGGGACAAGCTCCATTTCCAGGGTGGGCTCTGATTAGTTGTTTGAACTATGCCAAGATCCAATTCCAAGTCAGCTGTGTTTGGGCAAGAGTGGGTGGCAATGGGGCTGTCGGTTCAGGGACCACATGGCCTCCTTGGGGCCTGGGACCCTCTAGAGCCCTAGTGGGTCCCAGCTTGTTAGCCAGCTAGAGTGGGAGTAGAAATGTCATGAGATGCCCATAGTCCTGGCTGTACCCACTGCCTGGGCTGCCAACCTTGATGTGCTCCTCCAGAGCCCTGGGTGAGGGATTAGGGCAGATTCTCTCTGGAAGGGAATTTTTCATGGGTGGAAGATTTCCAGGCTCAGGGTGGGCTGTGTGCTAGTTGTGGGCAAATCCCTCACTATTCCTGCTGCCAAGCCCTCAAAGAAATGAGGCAAAGGCAACTCCCGTCCCAAAGACCCCTTTGTGGACATTTTAGCACCTACGTGAATTTTAATCCCACCCAGGGAGACTTTCTATCCTGTAGTCCCATCCCACCCCACTGTTGCTGTCTGTCTGCCAGCTGGGTCTAGCATCAAGGGGAAGGGCGGGGGGAGGCGTTATACTCATTGAAAGACTACTGATTCTACTGGGAAACCAACCTGTTTACTGTACTGTTGTAAATACCATGCCCTTTATATCCTGTATATTGGCTTCTTTTAAATAAAGTGAAATGTCTTAGAATTGTTGGTGCATTTTTTTAAAAACTGAGGCTAAAGTGGTGATGGGGGAGGGGCAAGAGGCCTGAGGGCCACATAGGCTCTAACACAAACTAATTATCCAATTAGCGGTAAACCAGGGAAACCTCACATCATCTGTTACATTTGGTAAAATGTAACAATAAAATCTTTACAAGCAGGGAACGCAGGATTTATGACACACATTCCACAAAAGGGGACGTGAGAGCCAGAGAGATTGCAGGCAGAGTCATGGGCGTCGCCTGCGAATCACAAAACCCCCGTTTTCTTAAACTTCCTCCCAGTGCCCCTGAGAGGCCACCCGGATCTGACAGTGCCCAATGTTCCCGATTCTTCTTGTTCGGAGCTGAATTCAGGGAGACATTTTCCTATATGAACCTGTCCCCCCTGCCCGGGAGGAAGGCTTTCTCCAGGGGTGAAGAGAAACACTGTTTCTATTCCCCGTGGCCTTTGGAAGGAAGCGCACATGAGTGAGGTCGTTTAAGGTGGGCACCATTACCCCCACTTTATAGGCAGGGAAACTGAGGCCCAGGGAAGTTACCTACTTTATCAATGTCATGGGAGGAGCCACAGTAAGCCCTGGAAGCGGCTCCTAAGCAGGTTCTCGACCACGCCGCTGGAGGAGAGAGAAAAACAGGTGGATTAGGGGAGAGTGTAAGGAAAGCTGTAACAACAGTACTTTAGGGGTAGAATGGGCCCCTCAGACTCTCGCCAGAAAGGCTTCAGAATCCGAGTTTTAAAAAACCTTCAAGCCCGGCCGGGTGTGGCTCAGCGGTTGAGTGTCGACCTGGGATCCAGGCGATCGGGGTTCGATTCCCGGTCAGGGCACATGCCCTGGAATTGAGGGCTCGATCAATGACTCTCTCATGGTTGATGTTTCTCTCTCTCTCTCTCTCCCTCTCCCTCTCCTTTCCTCTCTCTGAAATCAATAAAGATATATTTTAAAAAAATCTTCAAGCCTTCATGAAACTTCTCCAAGACAAAACTGAAATTTTGATGGGGGGTGGGGGGAGGGCGGAGCAACTGGTTCCACGGCCATTGGTTTTGAAGGAAAAGCTAGGCGTAGGCCAACTCGGATTTTATCTTTTATTGACCTTAATCTTCAAAGAATGAAGCGCCAGGCCCCGGGGAGCTGGGTGGTCTGGCCCCAGGCCGGGAGGTAGAGGGTTACCGGGTCCGGGTCCGGGAGCTGCAGGCAGGGACCGCAGGCTCATCCCAGGGCCGCACCCCGGGGGAGGCAGGGGTTGGCCGCCGTGGGGCCCTGCGGGGAAGCAGAGCGGAGGCCACAGGCCAAGCGTTGCCCAAGCGGTCTGGCCGGGACACCCGCCGCTCCCGGCCGCGCAGACCCGCGGTCCTCGCCCGCACCACACACGTGTCCCATTTCCGCTCTCTGATTGGCTCTTTCAGCCCCCCACTCTCCGGGCCATGGAACGCTGAGACACAATCTCTCCTCTGATTGGCCCAGGAGCTTCCATGTATCATTCTGATTGGCCGATGGGGCTCACGCCCTCTCTCCCTCGGCCCCTTTGAAGGCAACTGGGTCATACCATAAAGAGAGGGGTGTAACGTGTATATATCAAGACTTCCCTTTTGCATTAACTTGCCTTATGTCACTTAACGGCCTCTATCATGCGCTGAAAAGGAAAACCCCTTTATTAACAGAGGTAAATATGCAGGTATTTCTGTTGATCCTGACTCAGAGGACGTCTTAGGTGACCCCGTGACCCCTCTCTTTCCGAGGTAGTGCGCTCCGGGCGGGGCAGCGCCGTCGGGCTGCGCCGGGGGCGGACTGTCCTGGGACCTGCGGCACTGCGAGCTGGAGATGCTGCTGCGGCCCGCGCTCCGCCGCGCCCTGCGGGCCCGCCCGTGGTG